TCTCCACAAAGCATCCACAGTGATCACCTAAAATCATAGATCACACCATTCCCCTGCTTAAAAATCTTCAGTGCCCCTCAAGGCCCAGCATGTCCACCTCTCCAACTTCACCTCCTATTATTTTCCCCCTTGCTCTCTACTCCTCATTCATTGCTCTTTTGTTCCTCAAACATGCCACTTGGGGTACCTGAGGACCTACCTCAAGTACTAGTCACACCACTATTGGGACACTCTTCTCAGCAATTTGCACTGGTCCCAGCTCATATGCTGCCTCCTCGAAGAAACTTTCCCTGACCATCCCATCAAAAATAGAACCCTCTTTCTCCCCTGCAGTCCCAGTCTCTCTCCAATCATCAGCCTGATTATTTCCTTCACATTGCTTATCACAGCCTATTCTTTTGTGCACGTGTGATAAATATACAGGTAACAAAACATTTCAACATTCTTCATACGTACAATTCAGTAACACTGATTGTGTTCATCATGCTGTACAACTAACACAGCCTATTTTTGTTTATTAGTTTGTTAACTTATTGTTTCTTTTTCACCTCTCTCCCAGCATGTATTTCAATATCCAGCACACAGTGAGAACTCAATTAATGTTGGTTGAATGAAATTGTGCTTCCACTATGATGACAATGGTGATGATGTTGATGCTAATATTAATGCTGATATTAATGATGCTCTCCCACAGTAAGATGCTAGTTTGAGTTTGTGGATCCAAGGGCTGACTGGAGCATGTTCGCAGCCATCTAATTAGAGGCAGAATCCCTTGTTACAAGCTTGGTCTGGTCTTGAAGGATGTGTGTGTGTGTATGTATATAAATGTGCGCTTACTTTACACCAGGAGACCTCACAGTCATCTTTAGGTACAATCCACCACCTGTTTCTATGGATACTCAGTAACAGCAAAATGAGGATGTTGGGTCTTCTGTCACTTTGCAGGATAGGTGGATTTATTGAGTTTGGTAGACAATAAATATTGAGACAGGAAGAAAGTCTTTTGGTCCGTCTAGATGCTCTTCCCAGCTCCCTCACTCTCTCTGCCAGGAACGGTTTTGAGGCTATGTCAGAAAAGAGAGAAAATGCAATTAACCAGACAGAGCTGAGGGAGGGATTGGGGCTGAGACCCAAAGGGGGCTACAGAAGAAACTCTGACCAGGAACTGAAGCTGAAGGACCTGTCAGTTTCAACGCCACTAAGGAAAACTTACGGAAAAAACATGGTTGAGCACATCTTACACTGAACACCAAAAAGGGGTCAGATTCTAGGGAAACGCAAAAAGCAGAGATGGATGAAATCTTAGACAACAATCTCATTTTACAGATTAGTAATTTGAGGCCCTGGGTGGTGCAAATAGTTAAGTGCTTAGCTACTAGCCATAAAGGTTGGTAGTTTGAGCACACCCAGAGGCAACTTAGAGGACAGGTCTAGTGATCTGCTTCCGAAAGGTCACAGGCTTAAAAATCCTATGGAGCAGTTCTACTCTGCATACACAATGGGGTCACCTTGAGTTGGACTTGATTCAATGGCAATGAACAACAACAACAATTTGAGGCCCAGAGAGGAGACAGGACTTGCCCAGGGTCACATAGCAATTTGTGACTGACCTAAAACTAAAATTCCTACTATTAGAAGTTCAATGTTTTTCTAGTATATAATGTAGCCCAAAGGGCAGTCCCATATATGAACAGTGAATAGGTTAATTCTGTGCCCTAGTTATCTAGTGCTGCTATAACAGAAATGCTACAAGTGGATGGCTTTAACAAAGAGAAATTTGTTTTCTCACGGTCTAGAAGGATAGAAGTCCGAATTCAGGGTGCCAGCTCTAGAGGAAGGCTTTCTCTCTCTGTCAGCTCTGGGAGAAGGTCCTTGACATCAATCTGCCCCAGCTGAGAAGCTTCTCGGTACAGGGACCCCAAGTCCAAAGGACATGCTATTCTCCTGGCTCTTGTTTCTTGGTGATATGAGGTCCCCCTGTCTCTCTGCTGGCTTCTCTCTTTCATATCTCAAAAAAGATTGAGTGAAGATACAACCTAATCTTGTAGATTGAGTCCTGACTCATTAACGTAATGGCCTCTAATCCTGCCTCATTAACATCATAGAGGTAGGATTTACAACACATAGTAAAATCACATCTGATGACAAAATGATGGACAATCACACAATACTGGTAATCATGGCCTAGCCAAGTTGACAGATATTTTTTGAGGACACAGTTCAATCCATGACATTCTGGTAACATCACAGGTGTAAACCTAACCTTCAAACTAAGTGTCATCCATGTGTACACTCATCACTGTGGCCACAGAAACTGTCAAGAGCCTTTGTCCCAAATTCACAGAAATTTTTACAGCTTCTCATTTCTAGCTCTCCTTCTTCTCAGACCATGGCCAGTCTATCACAAGGCATGTGTATCACTTCCCCTTTGACTTTCAAGCTGACACTATTCAAGAGAGGCAGGTAACAACCCAAAGATATATGTTGGGAGAGAACAGAGTGTGCACAAGAGACTTGCAGAACCAGCGGGAGACTCACATTAAAGATAGAGGAAACTATTTGAAGCCATGTCAGATCAGAAACCATGCTCCTCATCCAATAAAATCATGAAAAAACAGGACCATTCTAGAATGGAAACCCTGGTGGTGTAGTGATTAAATGCTAAGGCTGCTAACCAATACGTTGGCAGTTCGAATCCACCAGGCACTCCTTGGAAACTCTATGGGGCAGTTCTACTCTGTCCTATAGAGTCACTATGAGTCGTAATCGACTTCTTTTGGTGTGGGATAGAGTAACAAGAGGAAAAAAAAGAGGACCAGAAGGGTAAATCTGGTACTCAGGGTTCTGAGTTGCAGGTAGCATATCTGGGAGCTCAGACGATGTTTCAATAAAAAAATATAAATAAAAACATATTTCTGCACAACAAATGTGGAACCTGGAATCAAAATAAAAGATAAGGAAACATAGGGCACCAATCAGACCTGGGGTCCAATCCCATATAATTTTACCTTGGGCAAGTAGTCTAGATGCTTAGCCTCTCCTACTTTTCTGTGAACTGTCAATAACAATAACAATAATAAATATAGCCAGCACTTCCTGATTACTGTGGTTCAGGAGTAGAATTCTCACCTTCCATGCAGGAGACCTGGGTTCATTTCCTGGCCAATGCACCTCATATGCAGCCATCTGTCAGTGGAGGCTTGTGTGTTGCTATGATGCTGAAAAGGTTTCAGCAGCGCTTCCAGTCAAAGACAGACTAGGAAGAAAGACCTGGTGATCTACTTTAGCCATTGAAAACCCTATGAATCGCAATGGTCCAATCTGCAACCATTCATATGGATGGCTCAGGACCAGGTCTGTTTCATTACAACGTGCATGGGGCCACCATGAGTCAGAGGCTAATGGCAGCTAACAACAACAAATCACTACCCATGTCAGGCAATGTGCTTAGCACTTTGTATACCTTCTTTCATTTAATCCCCACATCAGTCCCATGAAACATGAATCCAGTGAGGCTCAGAGAGATGAAGTAATTTGTTCAAGCTTATTACCAAGTGGTAGAACCAAGATTTGAATTCAAGTTTGAGTTTTTAATCACTATATTCCAAATAGTTGTTATGAGGATTAAAATTAAATTTAAAAAGTTAGTAAAGCATCTTCAAAGTGCCAGCCCATAGTAAGTGCTCCATAATGGTAGTTTGTATCCCTTTCTGTCCCTCTTCATATCCCTTGGCTTATCTTCCACAAGTGAAGAGGCAATGAGGATTTCTGAAAAGATTTTTGCAACCAATGCCCTATCCTCCATTGCTAACTCTCAAACTATCCATTGCCAGTCACTGAATTCCTGGCTAGTTAACTGGGAAACAGAAGCGGAGGGGAGGGCTGAAGATCCCCAATGTCATTCCTTCCCGTTCTAAGTGAGTCTACGAGGCTTCATGGAAGGAGAGTCCTGGCTTTGCTGTGAGAACTGGAGTGTCTCATTTTCTTCTCTGGGAGTCAGTTTCCCCTTTGAAAAGAGAGAAGGGAGCAACGGCAAGAGGGCTCCTGATGGCAACACGGAACCACAGCAAAGGGCACGTGCTCAGCAAGTGATTTAACCTCTCAGGTCCTGCGCCTTCTTCCAAGTGAGTGATAAAAAAATGAACATTATTTCTACGTGGCTCAGAAAGTTTCTAAATTAAATAACTCAAGAAAAGTGCTCAGCAGAGTGCCCGGCACATGGCATTCAATAAATGTTACCTATTATTTGTATTGTCCTTATTATCATCATCATCATCATCATGCCAACCTAAACAGTCCAGGCGTCTCTATTAAGGAAGAGGATTCTGTTGTGAATTTCTTTAATTCACAAATGTACTTAATAGTCTATGCAAAAGAACGGCTCTAGAACCCTGAATTTAGCGCCTCCCATGGCACAATAACCAGGCTTTTTGCCTCAGGAGGAAGCCTCCATCTGATAAACCAGCCATCACAGTAGCAGCAAACGGTTCCCTTTCCCTTCTCTTTCGGCCAAGGGGCGAGGCCTAAGCTCTCGACTTCCCCAGCCCGCCCACCTCAGCCACCGTTGGTCCCCATCTCGCTGGCGTGATTAAGGCCCCGCCCACTTCTCTCTGGGACCACTCTGAGGCGATCTCCGGAAACGGAGGGGCCACTAAGGAGGGACCGCGATGCATCCTGGGTTTTGTAGTCCACGTATAGAACTGCACCCAGAGAGCAGGACCTCACGACTCGGTGAACTACAATCCCCAGCAGCCGGTGGAGAGCGGATTGAAGGTGGCTCGTGTCACGTGGGCGCTCGGCCTGGGCGGGCTACTTCTCAGTTTGGCGGTGGCGGTGGCGGCGGCGGCGGCTCCAGGGAGCTGGGCCTTTTGTTTGGAGCAGCTGCGGGGTGGCCCCGGAACGGCGAGGCCGGCGGCCTTCCCCAGCTCGCTCGGTCCCGGCCTCCCCTGCCGGGGGTGGGGGGCCGCCCCCTGGGCCGGGCGTCGCCTCAGGCGCCGCCGCCCCGCCCCAGGCCCGCCCCGCCTGGCCTGAGGGGAGGAACTGGCCGGGCCTTAACGCGCGGCCCGGCCGCCTCTGGAGTCGCCGCCACTGGCTGCAGTACGCCGTAGCCGAGGCCGCTCCTCTCCCCTCAGGCCGACGCCATGAAGATCAAGGATGCCAAGAAACCCTGTAAGATGGGGGCTTGGGCTTGTCGGGTTGGGAGAGCATTCCCTAGGCCCCGTCTGGGAGTCTTTCGGCGGAGCGGCTAGATTCCAAGCCCGTCGCTCCTTGCCCGCGCGTAGCACGGAATAGGAGCGGAGGGACCATTTCAGCCCTGGGTTCGCGGCGTCTTCCCCAACCCCCTATACAAGCATGAAGAACGCCTGCGCCCCTCCTCCCGTGTCTCTTTCCCCCTACTTTCTTCTCGATATCTGGGAGGTGCAAGAGGGAATTTTTTATCCGGGTTTTGCCATACAAAACTAGAGCTACTAAATGTCTCTCCCAGCTTCCTCAGAAGTCTAGTTGAAAAGGGGTGGTCATGGCTGTCAGGTTGCGCGGGGGGGCAGTTATCACCCGTTTTTACTGATTTCCGGGCTTCCTGCTTGTGTCCTTGAAATCCCCGTGGATTCTGGGAGTTGTCACTGTTGTTACAATTGGAGCTTTTAAACGCACGTGCTTGTTACTGGCCAGATAATTGCTTTGGCTTATTTTTATTTTGAATAACAGCTAGTTCATGTTTTAGAAAACGCAGATAAACAACATAGATAAAAATCATATTCCCGCCACCTAAAGCCAGTTACTATTAATATTTTGGTGAATACCCATAGAGAATTTTCTACGACTATATATGTATGTACTTTTCTTAAAAACATTCTTAGCATGTCTTGAGAAAGCAGATGAATTTTCATTTGCTCCTTTTTATTTTTAGTCTTTTAAAAACCTTTTATTCCTGCAAATAGTTTACTTAATCGTCAGCCATTGTGATTTTCATATTGCAAGTACAGTCTTCCAGAACAACGAGGAGTTTGGGGATTCATGCTCTTATCTTACAGTTATATTGATATTTTGCATATTTAGTAGTCTTTTCATATACAGTGTCTCATGTGATCTTTCCAACAGTTCTAAGAAATGTCCAGCTGTAAAAAGGGGCATTGACATCCCTACCTGCCCATCTGGATTCTTTTGAAGCTCACTACAGAGCATGTTAAAGTATTCTGAAAACTGCTAATTGTTTGGTCTTCATTTTACAGTTGAGGAAATCCAATTTCTTGAGCTCCAGAGTAACTTTTCCAAGGCTACACCACCCATGTGCTTTTGAGGCTCAGAGCCCTAAGTCACCTGATTCATAGTCCAGTGTTCTTTCTCCTGCATCCATAGGACATAGTCTAAATACTTTGGAAAGCAAACTTTCTGATCAGGTAGTTTTATCTGCTAACTAAAAAAAAAAAATTTTAATCATAATTTCTTGTGATAGTTAAAGAGTTCTTACAGTTCAAAGAATCTATAAAAATTAGTGATGTACTTAATAACAATGGTTTATATGACAAAGTATTAGAAACTTCTGATTTACATTTGCTAAATTGAACATGTATTTTGAGCAGGTGTGACCATGTAGAACACGTGGATATCTTCCCTCAATGCATGTATTTTTCTCTACTTAGAATTTACATTTAGCTAAATGAGTTTATGACGAGCTCATATTTTGACTTTCATGGTGTTATTTTCTTTGTGCCATGGTAGCAGTTTGGTTTCTTAGATATGGGCAAACTAATAGGTATTGATACCAAATCTGTCAAAGATGTTTCAGAAAAGATTGTAATGATTATTATTCAAAGTTCATAAACGCTTTCTTTTGTGTAAGTTGCTTCTCCTTAGTAGTACATTGTGAGATCATTAATCTTAAAATAGAATCATGATGAAAAAACTGGTTAGTTAATATGATTTATAAGTCTACAATAACATTTCAAATTTCTTACATGAAAATACTGAATGGAGACTTTACTGCCTGTTTAATTCTTTATGGTGAAAATAAAGAGCATCTTATTTTTTTCAAGGGTGGGAGAAAAGGCTATCTCAACCATGAACTGCCCCGGAAAGTATTATTTCTAATTTTTTTTACAAACCATTCAGGTTAGCTAAAGATGCTTACTTGTTTTGTTTTTGAGTACTTGTATAGGTTTTTCAACCTGTGTCTTGCTTACGTACATGACATGTAACTTGATTAACAAGATTGATAGTAGGAGGTATATATTTTAACTTGGTGTTTTATAGGTTTTAAGTCTGCTTTGCTAACCCAAGCAGTAAGGTTCTTAAAGTGTTTGTCAAGACCAGCGAGAAGTAGGACATGTGTGTGTAGTTTGCTTCTCTATAACTAATTTACTTTAAAAAAAAAAAAGAAATGTATCCAGAGCTCTTCTAAATATAATACTAAAGATATGAAGATGGTTATTTTTTTAGTTTGTTTCAAAACATCAACATTTTTATTTGTAATGATTATTGGAAAGAGTGAAATGTCTTTCATCCAAGAACCTGAAGCATATCTGGAATTTACCAGTATGCAATCTCCATTTTAGAATTTTATTCCTTAAAATAATCCCCTGTAAGATGTGAACATTTTCAGCATTTCATTTCTCTTTATGCCTGAAGAACAGTTAAATCCTGAGTTAGCATAGAATCCCTTTGGGCTCAAGTCTGCGTGATGCCAATAGCAATTAGATAGTTCTTTAGTGTTTCTCCCCTGCCTGCTTACCAGCATTTAGCAAGATACCAAATTTATAACACACCTTGTTAGAAATGTAACAGTCTGCCCTTGAGACTAGGTATCTTCTGTTTAATCATTTAAAAAGGTGATTGGACATGCAGGTTTTCTCTTTTGAATACATAATCTACCTAGTAAGGAAGGTGATTCTTGGTAACACTTTTCTTGTGGTTGTTTGGGATATTTTTGTTACATTTAGGGAACTGATGGTAGCTCCCATAGGACCGGGTGAGAAAGAGAATAGGAGCTATTATTTTGTTAAAGGCCAGATACACAGATCATGAGAGATTCTACAGACTTCTTTAAATGGAGAATGTACTGTGTATTTTTCGTCATCAAAGTACTTAATCATTTGTATTAATGGAAAGTGTATTTTGTTTTTGTAAGTGTGTATTTTGCTTAATTTTTTTCATCTTGGCAGTGTTTTTATTCCCCAAAGAATAGGAATAAGTGGTTAGGTTATATGCGGTAAGTAGGCTGCTTGTGCACTGATGACCTACTTTTAACCTGTTCCTTGGCCAGAAGCAACAAAGCTATAAATTTAGATACTTGCCTAATTTCTTAAGAAACTGGCATTTTTCTTACCTCATGGAACTGTTAAGCCCTGTTGGCACAGTGGTTAAGAGCTTGGCTGCTAACCAAAAGGTCGACAGTTCAAATCCACCAGCCGCTCCTTGGAAACCTTATGGGGCGGTTCTCCTCTGTCCTAGAGGGTCACTATGAGTCGGAATCAACAGCAACAGGTTTTTTCATTGCACGTAAATAAAGTTTGTGTTTCGTGCATGTGTGCTTGTTTGCGTGCTTTCTCTGTTGCTTGTACTCTCTCCGTCTCTCCAAGTGACAAAATAACAACCGTGTGTATTTTTTTTAATACACTGGAAAATGTAAAAGTTGGTAATTAGACCACTTGCTGAATGATAAGAGTGGACTATAATTAAGAATTCCTGTCCTCTGTGATCTTGTTGCCTCCCCTGTACTTTTGAAAATGGTGATTATTTCTCTGGCATAAGAAAATGAATTCTAGAACTCTGCTGAGTTGAAAAAATATCTATGCAAAAGGTGGCTATTATCAAAACCGGCCCCCCCCCCCATTTTGTTTGGAGCCACTAGCAAGACCAAGCTCTCTTCCAGTCCCTACCTTCTTGATTTTAATAAGTAAATTGTCATAATTGGTATGTGCTAGAAATAGACAGCCTGTTGCCACTGAGTGATTCTGACTCATAGCTACCCTACAGGACAGAGTAGAACTGTCCTATAGGGTTTCCAAGGAGCGACTGGTGGGTTCGAACCACCGACCTTTTTAGTTAGCAGCCAAGCTCTTGACCACTGCTCCACCAGAGGGGCATGTAATTTTTTAGTTTGCATATTATGGTTACTGAGAAATTCACCATCTGCAGTATAGCATCTCTAAGTTAACCTTCATTTGGGAACAGACATATCTAACAGGGTAGATATGTGATTAGTCTTGGGCTTTTTAAGCATTATTGATTTTTAAGGAACCTACATCTTTGGGCAGTAACTCTTAAGGAAAATCACATAATCTTCCCAGTTTAACTTACAGTATGTTCATATCTGTTTCTCTAGTCCAAAATGCAAAAAAGTGGGTCACACAAAGGTTTTAAAAAAATATTTTTAAATAATGTTTTATTGAGTTTTTGGTGAAAGTTTACACAGCAAGTTAGGTTCCCATTTGACGGTTTCCACACAAATTGTTCAGTGACATTAGTTACATTTAGCACAATGTATCAACATTCTCTTGTGTTCTGTTTGTTCCCTTTCCAGTACTCTAGTTTCCCTGGCCCCTTATCTTCTCATCTTTGCTTTTGAGTAATTGTTGACCTTTTGGTCCATACTGATGGTTTTTAAGTAGAGCACTGATCTTACAGGTAATATCCTTTATTTTGTGTGCCACTCTTAAGTGATCTTAGAGGATAGGCTCAGTTCTAGGTGTAAGGAGTGTCTCGGGGATAGGCTCAGGGAGTCCTTTGTTGCCTGCTGTTCCAGTTTGTCTGGCTTTTTTTTCCCCCCGTTTTATATATATAGATAGATATAGATATATAGATAAGAATTTGAATTCTGTTCTATATTTTTTCTCCCATTCTATCCATTAAACTATTGTGACCCCAGTCAGAACGGTCAGTGATGGTAGCCGGGCACCACCAGGTTCTTCTGGTCTCAGCGTAGATGAGTTATACCTTGTGTAGACTTGTTTCTTCTCTGAGCTTTTGGTTACCTTCTTACTGTTTTGCTCCTGGTGAATAGAGACCTGTGGTTGTGCCTTACATGGCTGCTCGCTAACTTTTAAGACCCCAGGTGCTACTCCACTAGGATGCAGATCATGATTTTTATGAACTATGTTATGCCAGTTGACTGAGTTGTCCCATGAGACTATGGTCCTAAGCCTTCAAACCCAGAAAATCAATCTCGGAAG